GCCAACAATTATATCACTGATCTTTGCCTGAGTTTAGGATAAACACTGGACAGCTAACTGTGAGGTCAGCGGTTCAAACCCACCAGCCAGTCTTTGGAAATCCTATCCAGGGTCACTATGAGTTGTGACTTAACAATAACAAGCATTTGTATCAAAACTGAAATTCTTATAACGTCAATTAGGACTAAGGAATAAACCACTGTACTTTTAAAGTTCAGAATCAACGAAAACTAAGTTTAAAGTAAATTTTTAGTATTCAAATTCATAAGCATACTATGTAATAAAGCTTTACATGTTCTAATTTTCCTTAATACATACAAAAGAAAGATAGTTAGCACTGGACACAAACACAAGACACATTTATATGAAAATGTGAGGAAGGAAAATGAGGCTTCTAGACCAATAAAAACATCAAATTTATAGAATAAAGTATTTTTCATAGTACTTTTTCATTAATCCATTGTAGTTCCAAATAAAAACATTATGGTGAGTCATTTCAATAATTGGATTTCTTTAGTTTTGCTTTTTTCAAAATAATCACTTTGAAACAAAATCAATCAGACTTTAGAAGGGAAAACTTCACTTGCATACTGTATCATGATTAGACAAATGTAAGAAGCAAAGGAGATTGCTTTATTTTTACAAATTATTACAAACTAATTTTACAGTTTTACCTAAGAATCCTTGCAACTTCATGTGAAAAAGAAACTGTGTAATCTTCTTTCATTTACAAAACCACACACCTATACACATTTGAATAGTTTATGCTACTTGTTAAACCACTTTTCAATTATTTGCTAAAACAGAAAAGCTCATCATGACATGCCTGATTATCGAAACCAAGATGTGGCACCTATAAGAAGTCACCTCTGCACTTTTCATGTCAGAAGTGTCATCTAAAAGGACACAAAATCTGCAGGCAATGAAGATTGACTCTGGCATTTGGATAACTATAAAATAATTAGTTGCCATATGTTATAAATGTAGCTTCTTTTAAGTACAGGATTTATACTACAGTATGTCAAGAGAAAACAGACTAAAGTATTTACTAATCTTACATAATGTCTACCCACCAGGGCAACAGTTTGTATCTACCATTGGCTCTGCAAGAAAAAGATGAGCCTTTCTGCTCCCATAAAGATTTATAGCCTTGAAAACCCTATACAGGGGCCCTGTGAGTCAGAACCGACTCATAAGCACATGTAATGTCTTCTAAAAAGGCATTTGAACAGGTAATTAATCTAGTACAATGAAATACGGACATAACCAAAAGCACTGTATCCATTATTATATTGTTGTTGTCTTTTAAGTGCTGTCGAATCGGTTCTGACTCATAGCGACCCTGTATAGGGTTTCCCAGGAGTGGTTGGTGAGTTTGAACCGCCGACCTTGCAGTTCAATCCAACCTTGCGGCCTAGTGCATTAACCCACAGCGCTATACCAAGACTCCCCATTACTATATTAGCTATAAATAATAAATCAAATTTAAGAAAAACAAAGTTGTGACTTGCACAGTAACATTTGTTCATTTTAGACAAGGTAATACACAATACAAACAAATCCTAACCCTAATCTGCTAGAATTTAGAGACAAAAAAAGTAACAGGGATCTGATTCACTACTAAATACAAAACATATATCTACCTAAAGCATGGTTAGGTCATGAAGTACAGTAAGATGGCAACAACAGTAAATTAACTTTTTCTATCTACCCAGAGGCATAACTGGCTACTGATTACTGAGCATCTTCTGATCCTAACAACACACTCTGAACTTAGGAATCATTATCCTCCTTTGCTTGTTGTTGTTGTTAAGTACTGTGGAGTTGGTTCCGACTCATAGAGACCCTGCACAGGGTTTCCGAGCCTGCAAATCCTCCTTTAATAGAGAAGGAAATTAAGTATCAGAAGGTAACCAATGAGCTAAATTTAGGTAGGGGGGCTAAAGTTCTATTGTGACACTGTAGAATAAGCACTGGACTGCTAACTGCAAGGCTGGCAGTTCAAACCCACCAGCCACTCCTCGAAAATTCTACAAAGGGTCACGATGAGGCAGAACCAATTCGATGCCACTTAACAACAAAGACATTATAACAAATCGGTATGAAGTGGTGTTGGTAATATGCCATAGAGTTGGTTCCAATGCATGACAACTCTGCATAGGATTTCCAAGGATGTAAATCTTTACGGGAGCAGAAAGCCTTACATTACTCCCATGAAACAGCTGGTAGTTTCGAACTGCTGACCTTGAGGTTAGCAGCCCAACTCGTAACCACTACACTACCAGAGCTCCTTAGGTATAAAGTAGAAGTATAAAATGAACACTAAGGAGGAAGTCAAGAAGTCTGACTTTGGAAAACTAAGCAATGTTATTGCCATCCCTGAGTATAAGCATTTAACAGTAATTACACAACAGAAGAAAAAAACTTAAAAGTTAAAAATAAATACCTTAGATAAAACCAATAGTTCTCTTACTCTAGAACAATCTGTAACAATTATTGAACACCCCCAGCAATTATAATAAACAATTTTAGGAAGCTGAAAACTTAGTATGCAAATGCATAAACATCAACAAAATATGGGAATGGTGGTGTTGGTTATGTGCCATGGAGTCGGTACCGATTCATAGCGACCCTGTATAGGGTCAGAACCTGTATGCTACCAGAGCTCCTTGAATATGATAGTAGTCAATTTTATAGAATGTTACTGGAACATTTGGTTAAAACCTAGGATTGAGTAGATTTCTTTCTCACTATGACATTTTGTAAATGAATGATTTCAGTCAGCAGAATAACAAAATGAGCAGTAGGTAAGTGGTAAGGCTGCTAAGGCAGAAACCTTGTGAGACCTGGGAAAACAAGACAGGTCCCCCATCACTATAGTTGATTTTTGTCACATTTGTCACAAGAAGTTCTATTAGCATTATTAAGTCAAGAGTTTTATTAGCATGCAAGCTTTGTCTACAAAATTCCGTCAATTCACTAGTCTAATTTAAAACGCTTCTACTCAATACTCTATTAGAAAGCTCATGAAATCTGATACAACTGATATACAAAACAATGTCAAGGCACACAAAAACAATCAAATGCATTTAAGCATTTCTTGTCAGACAAATATATTAATATAAGTGATAGATCTTTGTGTTGAACTTAACATGTGATGTATGGGGGTATGTAAATTTCAGATTACTGCCAATTTTTTTTTTCTCCTGATTTTCCTAATTGATTAAGTTATTTATGTTTCATAAAGGCAAGAATACTTTAACAACATCTTATTGACAGCTTTTACTGTTCAACACTGATGGTGGTGTGCCGTGGAGTCGGTTCCGACTCATAGCGACCCTATACTGGGTTTCTGAGGCTGTAAATCTTTACAGAAGCAGAAAGCCTCACCTTTCTCTCCTGGGTAATGGCCGGTAGTTTCAAATTGCCGACCTTGAGGTTAGCAGCCCATTCTGTAACCACTATGCTACCAGAGCAACATATCATTGTTGCCGGTGGTATTAAGTGCCAGAGTCGGTTTCAACTCACAGCAACCCCCATACATGGCTTTCAAGGAGCAGTTGGTGCATTTGCACTGCCAACCTTGAGATTCAAACCGACCTTGTGGTTTAGTGCTTATCCTACAGTGTCACATAAAACTGAGGTCATATTAGACCCATAATCTCTTTCAAAACTGGTTTATCAACTGTAAGCTAAGAGAAACTAATACCTATGTTATATAAAAAGGCGTTATTATACTCAATTGATACTTTTTGATCACCAATGATAATATAGTTTGTTCGAAACCAGCAGAGTGCTATCCTCTTTTTTAAAAATCAATTTTTAATTTATATGCCGTCTAACTGGTTCTGGCTCATAGCAACCCTATACAGGGTTTGTAAGACTTGTAAACCTTTGAAGGAGCAGAAAATCTCATCTTTCTCCCGTGAGTCGCTGGTAGGCTCGAACCAGGGACCTTGTGGTTGGTTCTGACTCATAATGACTCTGGATAGTGTTTCCAAGGCTTGTAAATCTTTGCAGGAGAAAACCTCATCTGTCTCCGTAGAAACGGCTGATGGGCTCAAACTGCTAACCTTGTGGTTTGCAGTCCAGTGCTTATCCTATGGAGCCACTGCACTGCCCCTTGTAGAGCACAGAGATCGCTATTTATAATTAGGAATTATACTGGGACTCAGGAAGACAACATGTGAAAACGTGAAAGACTCTTCTGCAGAAGCATGAGCGTTATATTAGTAAAGCTACATGAGTAATGTGGATACATTCCTCAGCCAGGAGGCTGAGCACCTTATAAACCAAAAACCAAACCCATTGTCGTCAAATCAATTCTGACTCAGAACAACCTTATAGGACAGGATAGAACAGACATGTCCTTCTTCCTCAGAAGGGCTGGTAGGCTTGAAAGATCAACCTTTCAGTTAGCAGCCAAGTGCTTAACCATTGTGCCACCAAGGTTCCTTGATCAGTCAGTACACAGGATGCAATAATAGTATCTGAGGACACATCATATAAATTCCCATGATTCTATTCACATTTTTACTAGCTACTTGTTTAACATTCCCAAACTGCATTTATTTAATCTTCTTGGACTCCTGGTGTGGCCTATAGGATAAGCACTGGACTGCAAACCACAAGGTCAGCAGTTCAAACCCACCACAGCTGCTCCTATGAAACCCTATATAGGATTGCTATGATTCAGAAATGACTAAATAGCACTTAACAACAGCAATTTTTTAGCAACAACAATCTTCTCAGAGTTAATACTAAACTTAATTTTAAAGTTTCTAACAACTTGAGTAGCCATAATTAAGCTTCCTAAAATTACATAGTTCAGAATAATATTACCATTGAGTTTCAACACTAACTTCTAGGAGATATAAGAATGTAAAGGTTAGAAAACAGTAGTTACACAGAGCTAATTGCTTCCACAGAGTAAAACACAGGAAGTACAATTTTTAACCAAAGTATGTTCTTCGTAGCTCTGAGCATCTTCGTAGCTCTGAGCATCAACCGAAGACCAAGGATCTTTACACAAAGCTGCAAGTCAAGTAAGTTAAAAGCCAAGGCCAATGTCTTTAAAAAAGAAAACACACAAAACCCTACATCTCCAAGATATTAAATTTATCAAGTGTAACTGACAAACCTTACGGGTCACTTCTTTTCTTTCTAGAAGGAAGCTACACCACTTATACCAAGCTACAAATGTAGAATCCAAACAATATAGCAGACATCCAGGGCAGAACAAAGGATCATAAAGTGGCTATAAGATTGTGTAGTTTGAAAGTACTGACAGAAGATTTGGGCAAGTTAACCACTGTTATTCTCATGATAGCAATTATGTAACTCCTAGATTTCAATTTAAATGTATGACATTTGTTGCTACTAACTAGTTTTTTAAATCTAGTGAAATCTAAGAATGTAATCACATTAAACAGCATATATCTGTCTTGAAAGCTGGTACTAAGAGAGCCCTCACTGCATTACAAAAAAAAAAAAAATTAGCTACTACATCATCTAGGGTTGAATCTACTTTGGTCAAAATTTTTTTAGTCTGCAAATTCTGCGGTAGCTTCTAAATTACACTTAAATGAGTAGCATTACAAGAAAACACTAGAGCTATGCAATTGTACTAAACTTCATTGACTTTTCTTACGGGAGAAAAAGAACACTATAATTTAACCTCCTTAATGAAGAGTCCTGGTATGGGACTGTGGAATAAAGCATCGGAATGGAAAGTTGGGTTGAACCATAATGTTGGCAGTGTAAACTCACCTTAGAAATCCTATACAGGGTCACTGTGAGTTGGAAACAAATCAACAGCACTTAAGAACAACAACAACCAAGGTGCATGCCCTCCCCACCCCCGAAAAAAAGTACATTCATGGATGAAGTACCTAAAGTAGTCAAGTCAGTATAAGAAATAACTTTTTCTTTCTAGCAGGACAGCCACAAAATTTTATACAACTACATTGCATAAATTGACAGGAAAGTACAATACACATTTCTCTGCCAATCCAAGGATTCAGACTATCTGAAAAATAGAGGTATATGCAACTCCAAATATAATCTATGTATTAAATTACTCAGCTGCTTACCCACAGTGTACCAACTAGCATCTGTCAATTTGCTGATAATAGCTTCTTGAAAGGATCCATCGGATGCCCTTGTTTCAACAATAGCTCCAACCTAAAACATAAAATCCAAACTTCATTACCAAATTTAAACCATAAAATCAAATTACTGTCATCAACTATACAATCTGTATATTGCTGTTGTTAAGTGCCATCAAGTCGGTTCTGACTCATAGCGACCCTGTAAAGGGATTTTTGAGGAACAGCTGGTGGAGTTTGAACCACCGACCTTGTGGTTCGCAGCCAGTGTTTATCCTATTACATCACACCAGAAAAATCAATAAATAATATTTATGATAATTTTACCTGACACTGACTTAAGATCTTTATGCTTACAGTGATTTAATTTATTATGTAATTTGGGCCCCAAAATATAAATATGGTATCTATATTACCCCTCATTTTTATACACTGGAAATTGTGGCTTAGAAAGAGAAAACAATTTGTAAAGACTCCAGAATGAGAGCCCATTCTCTTACGTCTAATTCAGGTTTTGTTTTGCTTTTAAACTACTTTATGTTCCTTTCATGAACATTTCTGAATACAAGAACTATAAAACAGCAACAAGAGCTCCGATTTTCCTTCACAGAAACACTGATTATTGGATTCAGCACCTGTATGTAGGGGATCTTTTAGGGAAAGGTTCACCTGGAGACAGAAGGATGGCACAGGTGACCTTCGATTAGTTTACAGACCTTTATGTATTTTAATCAAAGTGGTACCCTGACATCAAAAAGATTACATAGACAAATGGCCAGACATGGATGGAAAATATATTCTAGGTGTTCATTAAATTGAATTATGAAGTGAACATAGGTCACTTGCTAAACTAGAAAAATAGAAGGATCAACCTTAGGATTCCAATATGTAACCGCACATTAAACAGTGCCTGATACAACAATGCAAAAAACAAAGTGAGGTATTCAGCCAAAGAATTTAAAACAAGTGGGAGCTAAAATCTCAGCATGCCTATGCATATTAAATTATCCTTCACTAAAATGCTTAATATTTTTCATCTGAAAACACAGTCATTGCAATAGCATAATTTCTACTAATTATACACTTCACCTGTATTTTTATTTTCTGATTAATGTCCTAAAAATTTTTAAGTATATCTGTAATTATAAAACTCAGTAAATTATTGTCTCAATTTATGATTCGTCATTTCAGATTTTAAACTGTAGAAAATACGTACTCTTAAAGGACCCTTTACTTGATCATCTTGCACCAACTGTGTAGTATTATCCTGTTTTAGGAGTACCTGAAAAATTTTTTTGCACAGTTCATGTTAGTTTTAAACAATGAATTATAATAACACCTTTACCTATGCTTTCTTAGCACCCTGTGGTTACCTGTAGTTTAATTCTTATTACATTGTTTTGTATGTGTTTATTGTCTCTATCATTAACGGAGTACCTAGAAGACCAAAGTCGCCATTTGTTACTATATCCCCAATAGTTATTAAGTACCAGTGCAAGTAATAAATGACTATTGAATGAATGAATAAACTACAGAAGACTTACCACCTACAGTGATTACTGTAAACACTTAACACTGCCTTTATTGCTCTTTATCAACAAGTCATGAAACTCTCATTCTTACCAAGAATATAAAAAACAGTATCAAGCTCTTTGTTGTTGTTCAGTGCCGCTGAGTCGGTTCCGACTCACAGTGACCCTGCTTAGGGTTTCTGAGGGGCAGCTGGTAAAGTTGAAACCAAGCTTACAGTTCAAACCGACTTTGCAGTCCAGCGCATTAACCCACAGCTCTACACCAGGACTCCTGTCTATACATGAAAGGAAAAGAAAATAAAACCAGATTCTCTGATGCTTTATAAAGTGAATCCAAATCCTAACCATAATATGTACTTCAGTTACAAACAAATGCTCTTTTTCTACTTCCAGTCCACTGCCTTTGAGTAGATTCCAACACATAGACCCACTAGAACAGCAAAACTACCCTGTAGTGTTTCTAAGGCTATAAGTCTTTATGCCACATTGTTTTCCTGTGCAGCTGGTAGGTTCAAATCACTAACCTTTTTGCTGGCAGCCGAGTGCTTTAACCATTGTGATACCAGGACTCCTATGTCTACTATTGTTACTGTTGCTAAGTGCCACCAAATTGGTTCCCACTCATAGTGACTCTGGGTAGGGTTTCTGAGTCTTTTTAAAATCTTTGCAAGAACTAGCAGGCCTCATCTTTCTCCTGCCAAAGAGCAGGCAGACTCAAAACACAGACCTTGTGGTTGGCAGTCTAGTCCTTATTGTATGGAGCCATTGTATGGAGCCATTGTGCTCCATTTCTCTGTGTTGTTGTTAATAACCATGGAGTTGGTTCCAAATCATTGCGACCCTACTTAGGGTTTCCAAGGAGCAGCTGGGTGGGTTTGAACTGCCAACTTTGCAGTTCAAACCGATCTTGAGGTTGAGTGCCTATCCTACAGTGCCATACCAGGACTCCATCAGCATTGTTGTTAAGTGCCATGGAGTCGGTTCCGACTCACAACGACCCTGTATAAGGTTTCTGAGGTGGTGGGTTTGAACTGTCAACCTTGTGGCTCGCAGTCCAGTGCTGATCCTTCAACGTCATAGTACAAGCAACCATAAGAGAGCAATTATCCAAATAAGAAAGTTCAAATTGTAGGTATGTATATATTATAAGACCTCAAACAATCCAGTACTGACTTAAATAAACAAATAAGTAAACATTAAGAGACACAATCCTAACAAAAAGCTTAAAAGCTTCATATAATTCCAAATAAATACCTAGTAAACAAATCCTGTATATCTGACATAGTTAAAAGGTGATACAAAAACGCTTTTTAAAAAGGAGGGGAGTGGCTGATTTTGCAGTACAGGAGTGGAAAACCCTGGGACCATCAAGAGAGAAGAGCGGAGTACGGGACCCTATCCAGAGAAGCAGTGACGCCAGAGATTGAGGAAGAGACTATGATATGGAGAGATGGTATGGCTGGGGACCCCTTGGTTGTTTGATGATGCATGGAGCGGATTGTAATCATTGCAATGAAACAAAATATGAAAGTATGAATGTAAAGCTGATCTCCCATGTTAACTATCACTCAATTCACATTAAGAACTTGGAAAAAAAAAAAAAAAAAGCCTTGTAAAAGAATAAAAAGAAAGCAGCGGAAAAAAAGAATGTCAAATGACAACAGTGAAATAAAAGTTGCATATAGGCAGATCAAAGTTTAAACTGAAATTTCATACTAATCATAGATAAATCTATTTACCTACCACAGAAATAACACTTATCTACTAAGTTCATTTATTCATTCAATGAATTTTAAATCTATTGTACCTATTGGGGATAGGAAAAGTTAGATTTTTTTTTTTGCACTTCACAATGTTCTTTCTGGGAAAGAAAAAGCAAACTGCAAAACTGCCTTATTGAACCCAATAGTGATCCAATGATAATAGTAATTATAATAATAATGCTGTGATAGCCACAGTAAATAAATCTGAAGAACCAAACCAAATCTATTAGGAATGGTACCAAGGAAGATTTTCATAAACTATATTATATAGTTTCATAATGTCAAAAATGAATATATAGGAAAGTTACCACAAAGAAACACAAAAATGTTAATTTGAGACACAAGCTATGGTTATTAATCCAGTTCTTTTTTTTCTATTTCCAACAGGATTTTTAACCAGTTATTCCCAGTTCAGTTATGGCCAACAAAGCAAAATCAGAACTGATGCTAACTTGAAAAATGAGTGAGCCAGAATGAAAACCAAAGCAGAAAAACAATGATTCAATGACAGCTAGAAACTTAATCTCCCTTTTAGAAAACAAAGGCAGAAGAAATGGTGCACAGTAACTAAATCTCTTGATAAGCTCAACAGGAAACAATGATGTACCACTCAAAGATGGTGGTCCATCAGGCTTCTTTGAATGTGTATTGTTCTCTGGAGTCCTGGCAAAATATTCAGTCTCTAGAAAGGGCGCACCCTGTACCTCTTCAAAGTTTCCCATCCCAGGACTTTGTCTTTAGTTCTTCCCATCCCAGCTGTCATTCTACTTAATCCAATTTAAATTTGGGTCTGTTTCACTTTTGCTTCATCAGCCATAACTGAACCAGTTTGAAGCCTCATTTCCAAATACCATACAGGGATAATGTGTTAACTTTTTTTTAACTACTAAAAGCACGTTAAAAATGAAATTTTTGAATCATCTTTGACACTGTCTTGAAAACATAATTCCTACTGCATTGGCATTGTTTTTCCTAACCACTGAAATCCTCTCTAACTAAATATTATAAAAGAAAAGAAAGTAAGATTATAGCTCAAGTTGTTGTTACGTGCCATTGAGTCAGTTTCGACTCAGAGCGACCCTGTATAGCTTCCAAGAAGCATCTGGTGAGTCTGAACCACTGACCTTGTCGTTGAAATTAACCTTGTGATCTAGTGTTTACCCTACAGTGCAATATCAGGATCCCAATTAAGTAGGCTATCATAAATAGAGAAGATTCAAACACTACAAAGCAGGGTATTTTGGCAGAACTATTTTGAAATAATTTCTCAAAACTACTTTTAGTTGTTTATGTCTCAAATCTTGATGCGCTTTTACAATAGTAGAGCACAAAACAGTTCTTGTACAGTGATAATTCAATAAATAAAATATATAGATTTACAATCCCAACCTCCCCAACTCTCTTCAGCCCAGAATTGGTGAAAGTATTGCATTAAAAAAAAAAAAAGTTACCTTAACTTTTACCAGCCTTTTCACAGTCTTAATCTTTGCCTCACAAAAGGCACCTCGGTACTTGGCACTGACATCAGTTCCCACTGTCAGGTAGGCAGGCTCATCCGCCACCTGGTAAAAGGATTATAAAACGTAAATGTCACAACTATTTTCCCTACTTCAGCCTCCAGTCTAATTCAGAGGCTCTTTATTTACGATAATAAGACTACTAAAACTATTTGCTTATTACCATCACTAATAACTTGAAAAATATCCTTAAAATTAACAATTAACAGCCCTTCTTGCATACTGATGTTTATCCAACTTAAATTGTTTAAAATTGTAATTACAAAGTATCAATAAGGAAACACAGTGTTTTTTTCTCCAGCTATAAAAATGGATCAACAAGAAATTTATGTATGAGATGTAAAAAAGAGGAAAAGTATAATAATTTTGAATATCTCATAAAATCTTAAGCCCTTCATTTACAGCCTCCTTAAAATGCTGTCTCCAAAATAAAGGAAATAAAACTATTATATAATTAATACTAGCAATGTAAAATTGAAGGTTTTTTTAACATAGCTACATAAAGGTAACATCTTGGATACAATGTAACAATACAAATAAGAAAAGAAGACAATTCTCTTGATAAGGAGAGCATTATTTAGAAAATTCTTTAGTTGAAAGCTGCATATGAAAAGTTTACACGTGAAATCAGCTGATGAATGCATAAATGATTTTGAGCATTTACTGATGGCTCAAGACCCGTGTAGCTTTATCTAGCTGTACCTCTTGATATAAAAAATAAACTTCACCGAGAAATGTCTAATGGCCATGATTACTTGAATACACTGAAAGATCAGGTAAATTTTATTCTACCATCAATTTTAATCATTACAGTAATAAAATGGCTATCCCAATCTATCAGTTTTGTCCAACTTTTTCTAAAGCTAGGTCTAATTCAAAGTAGCTAAGTGCAAAAGTAACAGTATACACTTTAGACATATATACTTTTTAATTAATTTTTTTTTTTTAATTTTCCCATGTAACATTTAAAAAAGGTTAGATGAGTTACTTAATACAAGAAGAGTGGAAAGCAAAAGAAAATTTTGGGAAATGCTATACACACATTTCACAGCTTAAATACACGGAAACAGTAAATGAGTGAACAATCTGGTACCTTTCAAAGTTAGGAGAATTACCAAGCAAAGAGGAATCAGAGGAATGGTTCCCACAAATAAATATCCAAACTGAAACCGCCAATGCAATGCAACAGAGCAAGAAGGCTAGGATATTCTCTTTCTCTTTAAACATCAGATACTGATGTTTGGAAAATTAGGTGTCTTCAGAATAACTTTTTTAGGTTAGATATAGATTGAAAATCATTTACTACAATAATTGGACTAAAACTATAACCAGTTTTAGCTCTTCAAATATTTTAGCCCAGAATTTTACGTTATTCCCCACTCCAAAAAATATATCCCTTAATCAACCCACATATTTCATCTTCTTAGCAAATTACATTGGCACTGGGGGGGGGGCGGGATTTTATTCCAAAAAAAAATCCCCCAAAGTAGGACAAAAGCTTTACTTCTGTTAAGGTTGCTGCCAACACAGGAAGTGTTTAAAAATATTAGCCCAATGGACAATTGAAAGTCTGCACCAGGCTTTCTAAGGTGCTAACTGCTTAAGAAAGGAGCAGAACCAGCTGCATTGAGATACACTGTTCATTCTCACCCATTCAACACATTTTTGTTTTCCTTAAATGCTGCTTAGTAGAGGAATTAATTTTGAGTAGTCCTCCTACAAAAAAAAAAAAAAAAAAAGGCATTCCACAACATAAGCCTCACGACAGGCAGTGGACAGGGACATCTCGAGGTCCAGAGCAGCGTTAATTCTACTTACCTTCATTTTTACTGGTGACTTGTGGGGTTCCAGCTCAACGAGCTATCTTCACAGTCGCTAGAATCATGGGGAGGGAGAGACAGGCAAAGAATCAGCCAACAGCGGGGAGCGACACAGGCAAAGAAAGTAAACAAATGCCAGCGGGGAGGGGCAGCAGCTCCCCAGCCGAAGGACTAAGATCCCCGCGGAGGGCAGTCAGGACGCAGGGGTTGAGGGGGAAGCGAGAACCCCAGAGGCGCCAAAGGGCAACCCGTTCCGCCCGGAGTTCTCCAGTGGCCCATCGCACCCCCTGTTTTGCTCGTCACTTGGACCGCGAATGACCAAGTCGGAGCTCCAGGACCAGTGGCACTGGAAAAGGACAGGGCGCGTTTCGGCTTCGAGCGGTCGCGGAGGCGCCTCGCCTCTCAGCCGCCCCCCAGAGACTCCCGACTTAGGCCCGCGCCCCGCCTCCGCCGCTCGGCCCCCTCGGCCCGCCCCGGGCCCGCGGTGGCGGCAGCGAAGTGTCACGGCGCCATTGCTCTCCTTCCTCCACTCTGCACCATGTCAGGAATGAGAAGTGCTGCTTCACCCCACTGGGGAACTGGCACAACCTTCCGCCCCGAGCGTGAGGGGAGACCCACGGGGGGAGGGAGCCGGGGGGCGGAGAGGAGGAGGGGAGGCGGCCGGGACTGGGTGTGGGAGGGGAGGGGAGCCGCACAGCGGCAGCCACCGCCTCCTCCCCGCGCCCGCCTCAACTTTTTGTACAGCTCTGAGAGGCACCAGCCCCCGGCCCCACCGGTCCTACCACGGGCTCCACGGGAAAGGACGCACCACGGAGTTGGGGGCCGGCTCCCCACAGCAGCCCGCTCCCCACAGCGCGGAAGCAAACTTAGCGGCGCGGCCAGCCCCACAGCCATTTTCCCGGGAACCCGGGGAGGCGGCCGAGGAGGCGGCTGCAGCGGCGGTTGCTGCAGTTGCCGCCACTGCTCCACGACTTACCCATTCCCCAGTGCCCGCTACGCCGCTTCCCTGGCACCCCCCCTCCCCACCACCAAAGCTTCCAACTGCATCGGGACCCCAAGCAGCAACACCAGCTGCTACTGCCGCTTCGCCCATTCAGTATTTCTCGCTTCCCTTCTCCCCACCTACCAACTGCGGGTAAAGTGCGCGCTGTCAGCTCCCCAGTGCTCCGCCCCACTGACCCCCGCGGGCCCCAGTCCGGGCAGCACCACTCCGGGCCGCGGCGGCAGTTCCTGCGCCCCGTCCCCCACTCGCCCGATTTACAGCCACAATCCACCAAATAACAAGCTGTGGAGCCGACTCTCTTCTACACGAACTCCTATTGGCTGATCATGACGCCGAAGAGCTTCTGATTGGAGTTCGCTAGCTGCCGTCCTCATTGGATGTAGCTCTAAAACTTCACGGATTGGTGAGAAAAACAGCAGGTAGGACATTTTCCACTTATGATTGGCTGTCTTCGAAGGCCGGCACTATTGGAGGGTAAGGTATTGAGTAAGCAAGTTCTGAAAAATGATTGGTGTATACGTCTCCGGATGTGTTTAACTGGACGCTGATTGGTCAATTGGGGGTCAGGAAGAGCAGTTCGGCACGAGGATTGGCGGCGAAGTGTCCCATGGAAACAGAACCCAGAGCAGCGGCCAGGGGCTCGCACGGGGGCGGGGCAGGGTCTTTCCAAAGCGCCTGCGCTAAGCCAGCTTCTCGGCGCCATTTTGTCTGGGCAGCGGTGGCTGCAGCTCTATCGCATTTTATGTTCCCGGCGAGAAGGCAGCGGAGTCTGTATCCGGCAGATTCGTTTTAGTTCAGTACCCATTCACTGTTCTTTCCAGGATAGCACTCAGAGAATGTCGGAGGAGTCACAGGTCCTTCAAAAAGGTCAGTTGGAAGATATGGTTGTCTTACTGGGGCATGGCGCAGCTTTAGCGGCACCGGAAGTGAAGGGGCCGCCCGGCAGCCATGGCAAAGTTAGTTCGCTTTGCGGCGGGGTGGGGTAGGGCGGGGTGAGGAGGGGAGGGGAGAGGGGCGGGTCGAGAGGAGGCGAGGCTTCCTCTCCCGCCTAGAGACTGCGAGAGGCTCCGGATACGCGCACTTCTCCTTCAGGACGTAGATCTGGAGTCTGAGAGATTTTCTTGAATTTGTCCTTCTTCCAGCAGTCATTCCTGTCGACTTGACTTTCGGGAACTTGTCAGTTTCCAGCCGCGTGGCACTGGCCATGGGGGCCGCCTTTAGACGAGAAAGCTATGAGTCTTACTGAAACACATCTTAACGTGGGAAGAGGGTGTTTCCGCGTGCACCGCACGCGACAGAGCGATGAGGAAACTGAGGCAGGCTCTAGTTTCCAAATGCTGAGGGCTTTGCGTGCCAGCTCGCAAGCCTCTGTGACCTTGGACGAGGTTCATGCTGCTTTTTGAAAGGAAATCTCAATGATTTTAACAGGGCCCGAATCACCTAAAAAAGGAATTCACCCATAGGACAAAGGATAATGTTCTCTAAGCAAAATTCTTTTTGGTTAACTGAAACAAAAATGTATCCGATTTTAATTAGTGGAATCGGAGTATTCATTGAAAAGTAATTGTGAAGACGCATAAAAATGTAAAATATTGTGGATAAATTGGTGCGGATTAAATTTACTCAACCCAAATCTTAAAGTTGAACTCCTTTCTTCATTCATGTTGTTGTTAAGTGCCATCGGGTGGTTTCCAACCCATAGTGACCTCGTATAGGATTTCCGAGGAGCAGCTGGTGAGCTTGAACCGCTGATCTTACGGTCGACCTTAACCGCCCTAACCCACAGCACCACATCAGGACTCCTTTCTTCACTCATACGTAGTTAGTAATTTTTATCAATTAAGAAAATAAATGCACGTTGCTGTTTTCTTTTGAGTGACCTGTCACACTTATCTGGATAGATGCTTATAAGCAGTCCTGTGTTTTCAGCAATACTGTTGTTTTGATGGGGCTCAAGACAGAAAAAAAAGTGGCTGAATGACTTAGCAGTTTCCTGTTTCTTTTTGACAGTTCTGAAGAAAATAAAGGACATCATTGGCAAATATCCAAAAGTATTACTGAGGTGAGTCCTATTCTTTTTAAATATCTTTAGAATTGGAGACCCCACCTGCAAAAGTTTTCTATCGGCCAGTAAAAGGTGGGGGGAGCATAAATAATAGATTGGAAGAATAGTAATTGGAAGATGTTTTGTTTGGATCAGGGTTCACATGAGGCTGTATTGTTCATATTTTGGTGTGATAATGTAGGATGAACTTGAAAAATTAGGACAGCCTGATAGATTTCACTGAGTTGGAAGGTGACTGACTGGCTGTGGGTTTGTAGATTTCTGTAGGTGCCTTTCTGATGCAGGGGTTAAAGCACCTGGCTGCCAACGGAAAGGTCAGCAGGTTGAACCAACTCTGCAGGAGAAAGATGTGACATTCTAATACTGCAAAGATTTAGTGTTGGAACCCTTACGGGGCATTGTACTCTGTCCTGTGTAGGATCTCTGTGAATCAGTATAGTCAACTTGATGGCCGTGGGTTTTCTTTGGTAAAGATTTCTTTACCCATTCAAGCCATTCTCACTTCTGGATTTTAAGTACTTAAATGTTTTTGTGATGAAACCTGTGATACTCTATGTAGAAATTTACCATACAAAGATCCTGGCAGTATGTCTCTAGATGTAAAATGCTTATTTGTGTGAAGGAAATGATACCCTATATGGGGTCACTCTACAGAATTTAAAAAGAAGAACAAATGAGCTACTATTCCACTTCCCTACATTAAATTTAATTATAAATGATGCATTGTCGTGGTATGTGCCATGGAGTCTGTTCCAACTCATTGTGACCTTGTGCAGGGTTTCCGAGGCTGTAAATCTTTACAGAAGCAGAAAGCCTCATCTTTCTTCTGCAGAACACCTGGTAGTTTTGAACTGTTGACCTTGTGGTTCGCAGCCCAATTCGTAACCACTACGCTACCAGAGCTCCTTATAAATAATGTATATTACTTTTAAAAGACCAAGAAGAGAACAAAAATCTCTTATGTTCCTTTCCTCTCCACTGGACTGCAAACCATAAGGTCAGCAGTTGGAGCCTATCATCTGCTCTGCAGTAGGGTTGCTATGAGTTAGAACTGACTCAACAGCACTTATCAATAACCACTACCACAAAGTAATCAGTTTATACTGTACTAACAAAATCAAGAGGAATTTCTGGCTGTATTATTTGTATCATAAAGTATGGAGTCCTGGTGTGGCACTGTTAGATAAGCACTGGACCACAGGGTCAGTTCGAACCAAAAGATTGGCACTTCAAACCCATTAGCCACTCCTTGGAAGAAACAAAAACAGTCACAAAATTAAGATCATTCTAGTGTTTAATTTGTCACCTACATTTTTTCTCTTTATGGATAACATTGAGAATATTGTCCATAAAGCATCTTTCATGACTTGTGTAGTGTTAGTATAGGTATACCACAGTGTATGTAAGTTGCCTTCTGAATTTTACTATAGAAACAGTATGTCATTGAATGTCCTATAAGTGTTTTGCAAAATAGTTTGCTTGAGTATTGACATTTCACTCCCGCTGTCAAGTGGACTCTGCCTCATAGTAACCCTGTAGGACAGAGTCGGGCTGCCCTGTAGGGTTTCCAAGTGTATAATCTTTATATTGGACACGTGGTATGGCACTGGAGCCTAAGTACTGGTCTGCAAACCACAAGGTCAGTGGTTCAAACCCACCAGCCGCTCCTTGGAAACCCTATACAGAGTTGCTATGTGTCAGAACTGACTTGATGGCACTTAACAGGAACAAGTCTTTGTAGCACAGTGCCACATCTTTCTCCCACAGGGTAGACGTCAGTGACTGAAATAGCTAGGCATCTACCTCTTCCTTCACGTCCTTGGTTATTTCTTTGGAAAAAATTTTCTAAAGTGGAACTGTATAAGGCCAAGAGGATTCCACTTGTAAGGCTTTGATGCTTGTATAGTTGTCTATCAGAAAACTTTTACTCCTTCTG